TGGAGTTCACATGCAGGCTCTCTAACTCCTGCCATATTAGGTCTGCTCGTTGAGCAGTAAGACATACTCTGATTACTGTCGGTATTGATTTTGTAGCAGATTTTAGATTATTTGGATTTCAGAATAGCAATACCTTCCTTTCACTCCAGACCATTCTTTCCTGGCAAGTACGACACTGATGTAAATCACACATGAAATATATTGTCAATAATTATAATAAAATGCAAAAGCTAACATCAAGAAATGAAAGATAAGTCACTGCAGGCAGCAGTTAGAAAAACAGTAGTGGAATAGAGAGAAGGGTAAACACAATCACCATGCCCCAACAAGTCACTTTTCATCATTTTTCAAAAGGATTTGTTAGCAACCAAAATTTCAGAGCACGAAATTAAAAATTAAACCATTGAGGATGGTTTCACAGACAACTGACATTTTTATTTCTACTGCTGGTCTCTTATGAAAAAGAAATACACATTAGAGATAAGAGAGAGACACTACAGAACTGAAACTTGGGATGAATCCCCTTTTCCTCAGAAGAGCTCAGTTCAGCAAGCAAAAACACTTCAGCTACCATTGCTCATTCAGGTGTCTAGGCTGTGCCACAGCTGTCACTATGGAGATACAGTTTGGCACGTGCTTGCATTTCAAGCCCTGAAAATGAGACCTAACTAGAGTGTTGCATGTTAAACTGGCACAATTAAAAAGGGTAAACAAAACTTTCAGAAGCTTTGTGTTTGTACAAGCTCCAGTGAAAGCAAGAGCAGTCCCTTTCACTGTGTGCTTTAAAATTTTAAACCCACCCGCCTTCCTTCACGACTAGTCAGATTTTTTTCCAACAGAACTGGCCTCAGTTGACAGCATGCCACATACTGACCAACCTTTCCTCAAGATTTATACAGTTGACTATTAATTTTAGGAGGAATAGGTATGCATGCGAAGCTCAGCTTGAATAAAGGGTCAGTAACACCTCTGAAATACTGCATTAAAACAATCAGCAATACATAGTTCACTACCAAAGTCCTTAGCTAGCCATTCCATCGAAATTCCAAGCATGCAGTTATAGAAGCATGGGTAAGAAGCATTCCTAAGCCTGATGTTCCTGATGTGTTATTAGAGTGGTCATCCGGACACAAGAAAACAAACACCTATTCCTATCACCGCAGCCAGAATGCAACATGCTAAGCTCACCTGCTTTTTTTGCCTCAGAAGCAAAACCCCAGATAGATTTTATATCATGTTCAAGCTTCAAAGATGAATGGATTTGTTTGTTCTTATCTCCATATAAAAGGAAGAGTAACTTTATGAGTAAAGGTTCCTGATAAAAACTACCACTAAAAACTTCCTAATGAAAACTATCAGGTATAAACACCTTTCATAGAAGTTACTGTTGTACAGACTAGTTTAATCTAACAGTAGTCCCTGAAATTGCACTTATAATAGCTGTCATTAAAAGATTTAATTACACATTTGTGATTATATCATTATTACCTGGTTTGGAAATGCTCTTTAGAACAGCACACATATAATAGTATACCATCTACATTGCCTGTACAAACAAAACTTTAATAGTTCCAATGGTTATCACCATGCTTGCCATTATTGCCAGATTTTCATCAACCACTTGTTAGAAAAGTAGAAAATTTTCTTCCTCAAAGATCTCAAAGATACATCTAATTTTACACACATACAAATTCAACAAACACTGAGGCAAACCCTGGGGACACTGCCTAAGTAGATAAATTACACATAGCATTTTAACAGGTGGAGAAAAAAAATTGGAAAATCATAACCTTGGAGTTCAGTTTTGCTGGCAATCCATCTCTCTGAAGTACGCCAAAGAGCAGAGCACTTTTGCTGCCAATACCACACCAGTGTTTCATGTTCTGTCTTTATCACCCACTGCAGAAAATGGCAGAAATACAAGCCTTCATCTGGATGAGATTTCTGGATGTCTAGCCCACTACCTCAGAACAGCTTGTCCTTTCCCACAACCCCAGAAGAGTCAGGAGAGGGCCCATGGTAACACAACAGTTCCACAAGCACGTTACACAGGCATAGGCAGCACACTACCCCTTCCTCTACCCACCTGCCATCCCCTCACAGTGCAAATATGGACCAAGGGCAGTTCACTCTTCCCTTCTTTTTTTCTTTTGCCTTTTTTTTTTTTTTTTCCTTTCTGCCAGCAATGCCCACTAAAAGTGTTCCTGGAACTACAATGTAAGTTACTGCTATACACTGAAGGAGGAGTGGTTCTGTGGCTCTGAAGCTACTGACAGGCTGGATCTGCACAGGACAGACACGTGAATGGACACGAAACGACTCTTGGGAAGGCAAACTCAGATTAACAGTCAATTAGCCCTCAAAAACCATCAACCCCCAAATTTTGTTAGCCTCAAACTACTAGACTACCTGCAAAGGCATGGTTCATTTCCAATATATCCACATGTTTCTGTTACACAAAATGGGAGGCATAAGAGTCAGGGTGCAGAAGATCATTCCAATGTTGCCATTTTAGTTATCTTATTCTCACTTTGGTGTTAAAAATCTGCAGTCCTACCCAGCAATCTTATCCTGCTATGTAAATCTTTCTTAAACAAAATGCCTTATTCAAAGTTTACTATTGTTAGCAGATATCAAATCAGTGTAGCAATTCACCATCAGCGTATCTTGATCTAATTATGTTCTGGAAAGAATTGAAATAGATCTAAAGAAAATTTAGATAATGGAACAGGCAAAACAAGAAAGGGAAAGGAGGAGCATAAACAAAAGATAAAAGAAGAACAGAGAATAAAGGATAAAGCTCCAAGATACAAAAAATAGGATTAGGAGATACTGAAATTGTGGGGGGTATGTGCAGAGACATTCCATAAAGAAAGAGGAAGAGTAGGGATTAAAAATGTTACCATCATCTAACGCACTCTATGGAATTAAATGCCATTCATGGACATGAATGTCAGCTTAGAGTAGAAGTCAAACAACATGTCTGATCTGAAATCTATGAGTAACCAATGTTCATTTGTACTATGTCAATGGATTTCAGATAGGGTCAAAGGAGACAAAACTTCACCCTCCTATGGATCTGCCTGTGACTGACAGCTCTGCAGAACATTTAGCAATACATCGGAATTTAACTGCTGGCATAAACGCTCACAAGGAGGCCAAAGACGCCAAGGGTACTTCCAGTACAGGAAACAAATACTGTTTAATTTGGATGATGCTCAGTGGAGTTCTTTGTTCTTTTTAGTATGCATCAGTACCAAAAAGTCTGCGGGCTCTCAAGGATTGTATTACAACTCCTTTTCTTTCAAGATGAAGGGATCAATTATCTTCTGATTTTTTAAATGTCTATTTTTATAAGGCTACACCAATTACAGAAGGCCTTACTTTTCCTACATCCTATCTCATGATGCAATTTTGCTCAACATTCTCAGGATCCCAAGGTTTAATAAAGAAATCTGTAAATACAGCAAAATGAATTATAAAGATTTTGCTACAATTCTCAGTAAAAAATTTCCTCAAAAAAAAAAAAAACAAAACAAACCCAAAAAAACCCCACCAAACCTGAACCACAGAAGAGGAATATCTTTCCTGTCTTTAAATACACATTTAGAATCCTTTAGTGCTGGAATTAGAAGGGATGTGTGAATATGAGTAGCATTGAAATACAAAGAATACTGAATGAAAAACCACACCTTTGTAAAGGGAAACAACTCATTGTAATTTGCACCTCTTTTGCAAGCTTACCCCTTTACAAACAGCTCAATGCAAAGAAACCCATCCAAGACAAAAATATATCAAATTCACTCTGTAAATTGTAGCTAGACAACCATGCAGAGGCAATTCTCAAGTCACAAGGTGTGGTTTAGTTCTCCCCTGTTATTATCAAGCTCTTAGTAATGACATATAAAACCATCTTCAGAGTAATTTTTCTCAGTGGGAACACTTACACTGACCTATCGAGCACTCACGTGTGAGGCACTTTACAGGAAAGCATCAAGGTACTTCTGACCCACTACCTTGATAACCCAGATGTTTCTCACTGCTGATTTCACCTTCCTAAGCTGCCACCACTGAAAACATACTACTATACAGCAGTTTCAGAGGATGGAACCCAGCCTTTTAGGCAGATGAATGTTGTCTTCAGTTTGAAACAGAAGCCAGCAAATACTACCAGACCTAATCAAAGACTTTTTCCAATGCTTTTTACAGTCATTTTCTTTGTACTTCTGGCACCATCTTTGTTAGGAAGATTTATTGTCTGCTTTTTAAAAATTATCAGTTTGCAATGGCCACCAGATGAAGGAATCTCTTTAAATCACTGTATGGAGAGAGTGTGAACATGTGCATTAAAAGTAGAGCCGTAATTTCTCCCATGCTGAAAAACCAGTTACCACGATCAATAATGAGGGGAAAAATTTCAAGAGTTATATTCAAGACATGCTGTTTACAAGGTGCTCTGTATTCTGAAGTTATTGCCTTACAAGTATTCAAATTGACTGTATCCCTTAATTTAAGGAGTAAAAATGAGAATTTTTTTTTTTTTTAGTATCTGAGAAATTAAAAGTGTAACATATTCACTTGTTGATTGGTAACACAGGGCAAAAATAAAGGATTTGGACAAGAAGCATTTGCATACCGAACATTGCTATTATAGTTACCACTGTCTTTTCTTTAAAAAAAGTCTATTTACCAAGTTAAAAATACAAGCAACTGTTGCATCATCTTACAGTAACTGGAAGAGCTGTTGAATATCAGGGAAGGGTAACAGGACAGATAAAAGTTCTCTAAAAGAGAAACCACCAGCAGACTAGCAGAAAGGTGGGGTTGGTCAGCCCTTCATTTGAATGTAAATGTAATTATGAGGCAGGCAGTTAGGCTGACGTCAGGCAAGATCTTGGTAAACCATTACCACCAGCACCTGGTAACAGAGTTGATAATAAAAGAGGATGAAGTAGAAGATTCCAAGCAGAGTGGCATTATTAGAGGAAACCAAACAATTATTTTTAAGCCGTGAAAGAAAATACGGAAAAACAAGATGTGACAACGTATTTACAATCTGTGACAACCATGTATGTGAGCACTCTCTTGGATAAAGAGAACAGCATGTATCCAGGATCTGCAAGGGGGAACAACCTGCCAGTGCAAAACTTTGTGTCTGCTCCACCCTATTCCGATTACATGGGATATCATCATGTGCCAACTCTGGACACCCATGGACAGCCTGCGGGAACCTGGGGATCTCACTATGGCCCACAGAGGGAGGACTGGAACGCTTACGGCCCAGGACCTTCCAGCACCGTTGCTGCTGCACAGATCAATGGCTCATCTCCTGGACAGGTCTCCTACAGTTCTGCTGATTACAGCTCCCTCCATCCAGCTGGATCTGGGGGGTTACCTCCTGTAGAAACTATTAATACACAGCAAATCTCTCCCAACAGCCAAAGGCACAGCTCTTACGAATGGATGAGGAAAACGGCACAAGCTAACACTACTGGTAAGCATATGTTCAACTTTCGACCTGAGAAAGCATCTTCTGCTATCACTGATCTCACAAATAATTAACTTTACTTGAAGCACATAGGTTGGTGGGTCGTTTGACATTTATTTAACCTACTGCTGTTTAATGCAGTTTTAACTAAATTTGCACTAGTTTCACTTTCGTCCCATAAAGGCTTTATATGGTTATAGAGCTGAATGGCTGTTGTGTTTAGATACGGCTACATCTCACTCAAGTCCAGGAATCATTGTTGTAACAGTCTGTAAAGCATTTTGGATTAAAAACGTGATACTCCTGAGAATGTTATGGAACAATGAATGCAGCAACATTAAATAGTTACAGGCAAAAATACCACATAATCATTTTGTGCTGCAACGTAAATATCAATATAAAATCAGGTTGATCTTTTTACATCTTTACAAACTTTTCCATACTTTTAAAGAAAATTATGTGCTCTGATCCAGCTGTGGTGATTATGCAATTTTCTGCTGTTGTTTCTGTGTCTCTTATTTCTCTACCTAGATTTATTAAGTGAGAAGAAATATTCCTAGAGAAGTAATCTGACTCAACGAGCAGCGTAGACTATTTTATTTGCAGACCGCGTATCTCATCAGTTAGGCTTAGTTTTCATTTAGTTTCAAATCGGTTTTACAGTGTTTTTCTCACATACCAGAATTTTGCAGCCTGCCACAATTACACAATTAAAAATCACTTTCTTGCAAGTGTCACTCATTGATGCGCCTGTTTTAGTCACAAGCTGACAGATGAACCTTTCGGTGTATATTCCCAAGGTGTAAATTTGGTGTAGCAAGGTTTGCTAAATCTATTGTTAAGGTTAAAAGTCGTAAGTGTGTGTTAGAGAGCATCAAAGAAAATGCTCTAAAGAAAGAAGAGCAATTACAATCAGAGCAATCTTAGAAGACACAGAAAATCAGCACTGCTGCTCCAGACACAATCCTCCTTCAAATGGTTATTACTCAAGAGCAAAATTAGTCTGGTGATTGTGTCTTAGTTATAAAGCAGATACACACTGTTTTCCCACTGTTACTAAATAGAAAATGCCCAGTGAACACTAAGATATCACAATGCCATCCTTACACTTGGAGCCTCCACAAAGGTCTTCAAAGCCAGGCAGATTTATAGTCTGTTTTTTCCCCCCATATGTATACTCATGTAAATCAGCAGTAACTTCATTAACATCATTAGAGATTTCCAGGTGTACAAGTGATGCAAGGCTTGAGTGTAAACCAAATTCAATCGAGATTACTGAATGTCAATGAGGCAGCCCTGCCTCTGTCATGTTGTCACTGCATTATAAATGTGTTAGCACCCTTAAAGAATAAAATAGACTTAAAAACCCAAATCCTTGTTTTACACTTATTGCACAGACCTGGAAGACCCTGAAGGACTTCTCACAGGCTTGCTCAACTTCATAAAAATATATTGCAATTCAGAAAAGCAGTTATGTGCTTAAATTCATCTCTAGTCTGAGAAGCACTTACACACGTGCTGAAATACTTTATGAACAACAGTGGACAGGTGAAACAGGGTGTGTCAAGAGATACATGTCCTGAGGCTGTACATTCCTAGAGCCCAATCCTTTGAAGTGTTAAAAACAGCTCAGGACTTCACAGAACTGGGCTCAAGGCATCAACCCAGCTTAAAAAAAAAAAAAAGGGTTTAGGAGAGAAAAGCACAAATATGGTATTTTGCAAAACAAGAAAAGTACCAAAGATATTTGGCTTTCATTGGTGTTTTTAAAATAATGTTAACAGTGAAAACTGGAAAATTTTAATACCGACACATAAAAAGTTGTGAAAAATTAAAGGAAATTCAAATAATGACAAGGCCAAAATTATGCATGTAACAGCTGCAGATTAACTTATAAAAGCTTTTGCTAGATAACGTAAGAAAACTTGATGCCATTATAACCACTCTCTGAAACAGACTTGCTCTCTGTTTTTCTTTATTGCTGTAATAGTATTCATGCTATCAAAGTAGCTGCTAGCTCCTTCCCTTCAATAATCACTGTTTAATACAGTATATTGCTCTAAAATTACATAATTACAGCCCTAAATTTTACAAATCTATTTAGATACATAAATACATGTATGTCCTTAACTTCACTAATGGCAGGTATTCACATCAATGAATGTGAGCGGCATGGAATCACAGAAATCAAACCACATCTAATTAAATGGGGGAACCTACTGAAATACTGTCCTAAAGACAATGGGAATTATTTTTGGGGAGGGGATGTTAATAGGAATTTCCCCCCCTCTATTTAGACCCTATTATATACACTGCACTCTGATTCAATATTTGTATTTAGCGTTTTAAATTAAAAATTAAATTGCGGGAGAAGTGAAATGACCATTTACCTGACCAAGTCAATTCTCAGGATGAAACAACATCACAGACAGAAGTACTATGTCCTTTTGACAGATAAAATTTTATTTGAAATTATACATCCTCTTACTAAAAGATATTGTAACTGTATATTTAGAACCATACCTTTCATTATTTCAAATACACAGACATTGTAAATATATGAGGCAATAAGAAATTTTAACAAACAAACACTGAAAGTGGGCTTGGTAAAGATATCTTCCCAGACAGGCTATCAGAATGAGGAAAAGAACACCTACAGAATTCCTTGCAGTCTGATCCTGTTTTTACTAAAAATCAATGACAAAATTTCCAACCAACCTCAGTTAGGTAAGAGCAGGACTTCAGACCAATTAATTTCTAAAACCTGTGGAATCAACAGTGTAAAATGTGTATTTCAAGAGAGCGAGTGAGCTTTCAAGGCATGAAACTTGCTGAAAAGAAGGGCTGAGAAAATAGATTTTATAACTTTTAAAACTTTATATGAAACTTCATCTGTGAGTGACCCTTCTCAGAAAGGGAATGAACTTCAAGGGGACTACATTATTTTTACATTTTGCAAGATTAGCCTCAGGTTGGTTTTTTTTTTGTTGTTTTTTTTTTTTTTTAACTGTAGTCAACACATTTTATGTCTTTGTTCAAACAAGCAGTGATGTACAGGTAATTCAGATTACATCACAGCAGAAACACAGCCAGAAAAGGAAAATAGAAAAGCAGGAAAGAAGGCCAGGCCTCTGCCCGAATGCTAATTTATTCGGCTTTGTAAACTAGTTGTGACATCTATTTTCCACTGGCCTACATTGTCTGAGGTTTTGAGGCCTATCTGTCATATTGAGGCAACAGACCCTTTCAACACTTCTCTTCTCTTTGATATGCAGTCTTGTCTCTTCCTTCTCCCTCTTTTCTTCAGGAGTTATATTGCCGGAAAGGGTGATGATTTTCACAGCAAATAAAGAGGCCTTCTCCTGGCTTTATTGTCTTCAGAAGAAATGCTCTGTGAATTTTACGACCAAGGGGAATGGGGGAAACTAGTCCTTTTCTCCACCCCCTCAAATCATGGTCATATTTGCTGATTATAGTGAAGCCGGAATAACCCTGTTGAATTTTAACTTGTTTTCAAAGATCACTTTCTAAGCCTGCAGTTTACAAGGAACCTGAATATCTATACTATTGTTAACGTTATAACTATCACTTAGAGCAAATATTTCAAAGGCAAAAATTTTTACCTTGAAAAACAGTAAGCTTAGTTTGATGGTTGTTTTATTTTAGTCCGGCAAATTTAGGCAAGAAAACCTGTACACTAGAAGTCAAAAGTGGCGTTGGATTTGAGAAAACATCCTTAATTATGCATATTTGAAAATGTCTTAAGCTTTGTCTAGCTCTGGATAAAAATATCACAGTCTATCCTCAGTGTTGGTCCAAAATTAAATAGAACCGAGGAAAAAATGTTCCTTCATCTATTTTTGTCCGTTTTTTCCTCTGCTAAGATGAAAGAGTCTGACATTTGTTTAGGGCTTGTAAATTCCAAACCAATTGGCTTGTGTTTCTGAATGTGAAAGGGGTTTTTGATAAGATCTCCTTGTCGCTCCTTTGTGTGGCGTGTGCTTCATCTTAACACCTCAATGGATTTTAGGGAACCACTTTAAAGGAGTCTTTGTCCTACAGTTTGTCCCAGAAAACTCACATCAAAAAAAACCTGGGAAGATCAGAAGAAAAAGGAAAACTATCTAGTCGGCTGTTGAAAGTGCAAAGGAGAACAAATAAGTTGAAAAGTGCTCTCTCTGTATTATTATTATTACATGAAGAATTGTTTAAAAATGTCTATTAAATGAGAGATCTCTTCTAAACATCCAGTAATGCTTCTCTAAACAGTATTTAACCAATATATCTAAGAATATTTCTTTTATACATTAGAGAGAGGACGATATTGAAATCCTTTTACAAGCATTTTATTGCCTCCTCTTACAAATTGCCAAGTGCCTTCAACTCCAAAGGGAAGCTCAGCACACAGAGCACCCCCAGGAATCCCTCTACAGGCACGCAGCATCTTGCACAAGGGGACCTCTTTAAAAAAATAAATTCAAATTCTTCTTGAACTTATAAGCATGTCCTATGGCCACACAAGAAAGAAAAAACTTTTCTAGAAGGATGTTTCTTTGTGTTAGAGAAGTGATCTTTAAAAACTCAAAGAATTAGGACATGGTACAACTAAACAAATTGTGACTGAATGTCAGTCTTGAAATCCTGTGTATTTATGCCTGCATATACACGGAAGTCACTTCAATGAGCACTGAAATGAAACCCCGTTTAGATCAAATATAGTCAGCACCAATTACGTACTGCTATGAATTATTTATGATACTTCAGGGTGTTTTTCACTTAAGAGTTTTTCATTTAAAGGTATGTTTACAGAGAAGGGGAGATAAAGAGGGAAAGCCAGTTATGCTAACCAATACTCAGGTATTCACCCTGCACCTCATATTCCTTCTCTGAAACACAGAAAACAACCCCATGCAAGTACTCTGTAGTTTGATTAATGTCTGTAAAATGTTTGAGATGTTTGAAAGAAAGATGCTACAGAAAATAAAATTCAACATATTAATAATATTTCTTTCTTAAACAGGTAAAACAAGAACAAAAGAAAAGTACCGCGTTGTTTACACAGATCATCAGAGACTAGAATTAGAGAAGGAATTTCACTGCAACAGATACATTACAATAAGGAGAAAGTCAGAACTTGCAGCAAACCTGGGACTATCTGAAAGACAGGTACACGGAGACTATCCATCATTTGTACACACCCGTTCACCAGACATTGCTACTGCCGGGGGACGTTAGCCGCATTCACATGCCATATCCAAAAGCAATGCGAAGGCAACCACAATACAGTTTCCCAGTATATTTGACAGACAGAGAATATACTATGTAAATACAAATTAATAAATAGGCTCATTTGGCAGAAAGCTCCAATTATGGGTAACTAAACATTAGGAATTCATTAATACAACAATAAGTACTTATAGTTACATGTATAACAGCTTCCTAGACAGCTAGAATTTAAACAGTTCAGCCTAACCTTATCTTAGCTACGTTCTCAATAGTTATCACATTCACCATTTTATTTCTTGTAGTAATCACACAAAATGGTGGTCAGAAAAAAATCCAAAGCATTGGATACATTTCAGCTGTAAGCCAGGCAAATAAAAACTCAGCATTCAAAGAGCAATCAAATGAGATATCTTTGCATTTTTTCATTACAAATTTATTGCCACTATTTCCACAGGCCACATTCTTCCTCTGACAGTCAGATTTCAGCACATTTTAAGGAGTTCATATAGCCTTTGATTTTTAAGTCAGGACTTTTTTTGCTATTATGTTCACAGGTACTGCACCTATAGTAGTAGTTCACACCCACTACAAACAGGAGGCTTTAGGCTATAAAATTTGGTGCCAATTTTGTATGCCTATTGTACACACATACGTAGCCAAGACTCTCCATTTAGGAAATTTTCAAGTGCAAATTTAGATCCATTGCTTCTTTGGAAAGCAGCTCTACATTCATTCATATCAAGGACATGTTTAAGCTCTGTCCTGAACAGAAACAGTCTCCTGAGCAGGGGCCCAGGGATCTTAGCTGTGTTCATACCAAGACTAGAGGAGTTCAAGATACAGTATTTCCTAAAATCACTGTGTTGGAGAGCACACTTACGAACTAGGTGACTCCTGTGTTTGTAAATATAACAACAGTAAGTTCACTTTACACCAAGTCTAAGAAAATAATTTTCTATTGACTGTGACAGAAAATGAATACACAGTAACTAAAAAGTAACTAAAAATTTTTCAGAGCACAAATCTAGTGTTGGGTTTTTTAGTTTAGGGTTTATGTTTTTTTGTGGGATGGGTTTTTTGTTGGTTTTGTTTAACTTATCTATATTTTCATTGCTACTATTACTGTAGCTACTTTGAATTAATCAGATGTAATTTATAACACCACAGGTGAAAATCTGGTTCCAGAATCGCCGAGCCAAAGAAAGAAAAATGATCAAGAAGAAAATATCTCAGTTTGATGGCAGCGGGGGCTCAGTTCAGAGTGACTCCGGTTCACTCAGTCCAAACGAAATATCTAGTTCTCTCTTCCCACCACCACATGGAATAAATGGATTACAGCCTAATGACATTCATCAAGTCATAGTTTCAGAATGAACGGGGGGTGGGGGGGGGAAGGAAAAAATAAAAAGCAAGAATGGATTTCCCTGTCGCCCCCTCAACTTTGCAAAGGACCATTCTCATTTAACTGTCTTCAGAGTGTTAATGTCTAAGCACAGGTTTGGGGACTATTATAAAAATATTTTAATTGTTGCAGAAATCTCAGGGAACTTGCACTGCTAAGGTTCATTCATCACTCAAAATCTTTGAGTAGGAGGCAAGTTGCTTCAGACACTGACACAAAGAATGATACATCTGAATATTCAAGTAAACGTAGTTCTAGTCTGATCATATACATACACAGAAAATTGTCAGTGAACTGATTATAAAATAGAGTACTATTGCACCAAATATAAGATGCTGGGTGTCTTCAGTTTGTTACATTTTATACCATTAGAGTAAACCATAGATGTAAATAAATATTCACACTTAAGTGTGCTAAAAAGAATGCTACTTTTTGAAAACAACAAAAGCATTTAAAATACTTTTAAACACTCAAGAAACATTTCTCTACCAACATATTGCATTAAATTAAACGATTCTAAAACAAATGTTCTTTGCCTTACATAATTGCACTCAAGCATGCCACGCTCTTAAGCAATAGTTACCTGCCAAATTTGTTCAATTGTAAGAAATACAGCAATTTGTCACGAACATTAGTAAATGACAGTTTGAAAGATGTAAACATCACTCCAACCTTCAACAAATGCATGAATTAAGGATAAACATGCTCACAGTGTGGTTAGCTTTTATTATTAGTCCATGTCAGCAGGTGAGAAGGTTCAAATGGTATCTAGAAGACAACTGATGAGGTTGGAAAAAGCAGAAAGAAAACCCAAAGCACTAAAGAAAAAAAAACCCCACAAACAACGACCCCAAGCCCTTCAGTAGTACTATTCGTAGGAATTTCATAATATGAGCTTTTTCATAGCACAGAAATAAGTACTCTATTGGAAAATTTAATTTTATTGAAAAAGTCATCAGAAGCAAAGATAATGAAAAGGGAAAACAGAAGAAAACAAACAGAAAACACCATTACCTGGCATACGAAAAGCAATGCATCACTCCTTAGTTCAACAATGTCAAACTCAGTCTCGGAAACAGCAGATCCAATTCTGCTTTTCCTAAGATCAGCACGGGAACACAAGGATCAGGATATGCAGTTTGGTGGAGGCAACACAGCAATGACAAAGTCCCCACATCACTATTATCTTCTGGGTAGCTATGTTTGACTCTTCTACATTGCTTATGTAAAGGAAAAGCTTCAGAAGATGTGATCCAGCCCTTGCATTTAATTTTTGTATTTATACGGGTGAGAGGAAACACTAAAGGCTATAAACAACATTTTCCAATCTTTATCTTTCCTCCTTTGAAGACTTCCCCAGGGACTTCAATTAAACTCTCCCTTACCACTATTAGGCAATTAAAATAAAAATAAATCAAACATGATCCTTCTCACACAGAGTATTTTCCCCAAGCTCTCTCAGTTCCTTGTCTTTTTCACTTTATGTAAATAGAAAACCATCACAGTGTTTAAACTCAGCTGTTTGATTGGTATTTTGAGTTTCCAAAGTAGTGAGCCACTTTAACACCATACTGGTATCAAAAGAAAATTCTGCATCACACAACTGTCTAATTCCAGCAGCCAGCAAATCCCTTCTGACATTTATTTGACTCATCTTTATTCTTATGAGAATTCTGTAGAGGTGCCAAAGCTTTGGGAACAACTGCCTTTCTCAGTCCCACTACTTATAAATACTTAATCAAGGAGGAACACTTTACCACAAACTGTTCATGCTGAGACTCAATGTAGCAGCACAGTGATTTTGCTTCATTAACTAACTTCTAAATATTGATCTGTGGGAGAAAATACTGAAAATTACAGATTTATCTGTACTTAATGACAGACAGAGTAGAAATTGGAAAGGATCCTGTTATAAGATATTTTAAAAATCGTAATTTACAGAGCTGAGAGCATAACTTAAATCTCTAATTGGCTACTTGTAGTAGTAATACATGTCGAATAAAAACCTGGATCATAAATGACAACCTATTGAAACAAAGATTACTTTTGAAAATTGATCTACCTCCACATTAGGCATTTTTAGTATAAGCAGCACAAAGCTGCATACCCTGCATAAAGCCAAAAATCTAGACGTTACAAAATAGTTGTATCACAAAAATAGTTTCATGAAACCTCTCACATCACTCTTGACTTGCCTTACTTCAAACGAACATATCCAAATTTGCCTAGTGAGTTACACATTTTATTTCTAAACAAAAGAATGTCAACTTGCAATGAATGCTGGATGCACCTGGAAAAAGAAAAAGAATTCTGCTAAATGCAACAACCAAACCCACAGAAATTACCAGGGTTTTTTTCTCATAATAAATTCCACAACATTAAACAGGATCATCTAGACATGGGTTACTGTTCCCAGTCAAAAGTTATGTTCTTATTTCCCAAAGAGGAACCTAGTAGGCAATGCTAACATTTTGGGAGTTATTTCAAAAAAGCCTCAGGTACTTATCAAACAATCTTAAAATGTGTGGTTAATACTATTTTTAGAAGAAAATATTTGCATTGAAGGAATAATTTTTATCATTCCGTGGATGTGCTAAACACTAATGATCCTACTGAAATTTTCTGCAGCGTACAGTATCATGCTGTTTGGGTAAAGGCTTCATTATCTGAGAGTGAAGAACACTGCCACAGGTGAATGGCTCAACAGAGGCAGAATGCTAGATAGCCAAGTTGTAATCATGGATCCGAAACCCATTATTGGCTGCTGCTTCTCATGTGCAACTGAAGTTAAACATGTTTGAAATGCCTATCAGCTTTTATCAGCTTAATACTTTGATCCATCAACTGAAACTCCCTAGAGCCTGACATTCTTCCTATTGCTGCAGACATCACAAATAGAGCAAATACAATATGAAACATTAAAATTAGTAAAAACTTAGAACACTGTCTAGGGATATCTCAAAAAGAGACAGGATACAGAACAGCATGCCAGTAAAAATCTCAACAATTCACATGTTTGTTTTCTACAGGTTGCAGGATTCCTCTCTGAAACCCCTTATCAATACCAGTTTTCAGCAGCCAGTCCAACCTTCTCTGAATGCAGCACAGCTCTGCCTCAAGAGATTGGCAAGAACACGTACGATTTTAGCGGCATGCATTTGGCATGATGCCACCTGAGAGCCGCAGCTCTGAAAGCCAAACACTGCAGCATCTAACGCGGCTGGCTGCAGCAACCAGAGCGGCAACAATGCCCATCTCACTCTGTGGCAGAACTAAGAGGCAACAACAACATAGTGAGGATGGAGAAGCACGAAAACAAATTCAGACACGTACCTCACCAGACACCTTTGAATTTTCAGTGTTCTGACACAATTCCAACCTGAGTGATGCAGCCATGCAGGCCTCCCAAATTTCATTGTGCACCAGATGCTACTAAAGGGAACAGTCCAGCTTCTTAAGGTTTCTCCCCACTAAACCCTTATCTGCAAGTCCTGTGCTCAGATAGGACCACTTACAGCATCTTCCTCTCTTGGAAGAAGAGAAAGTGCAAAAATCAATTTGGAAGGCAATGTAAGTCACCAGCAGCCTAGCACATGCAGGGCAGCCAAGAAAACAGAAAGCTCAGCTGAAACAGGTTTGAAAGCAGCACTGAAAGAAAGTGGCTGCTTCCCAAAACACTACAAAGTATAAACACAGATGTTCTGACATCACTGCAGCTTAACTTGCTCCTGTGTCAAGTTAATCCTGATTCCAACCAAGGTAAGTTCTCCAAAGCTGCTGATGTGTCACTTAGGTGGAGAGAGTTCTTATGAAAACTGCTCTTTTTACACCACACAATGATTTTACATCAATGGAAAAAAATTGTACCGAGAGACACCCCATTACTCACCATCACACCCTACCAGTTGATTTCTTCTACAAGTCTATTTCAACATTTCTAGAACTTTTCACATTAGAAACTGAAGAAACAAGTTAACCAGGCAGAAAAAAACCCCACCACCAAAAACCCCCCAACAAACAAAAGACTCTCAAGAGCTTGTATTCTGACCTCTTTCTCTCAAAAAATGAATCTGTGATCTCAGCTTGTACAAACTGACTCGGGAAGGGGGTACCTTACAGGTGAGGTCCAATACTGGCTATTCTCTTCACTCTTTTTGACAAAGAGAATACTTCTGCTGTATCAAAACCGAGGCATTCACATCTCTAATGAGGCCCTGAAGTTCTGAACCCCTTCCACTTCTTAAGCCAATGTTGATCGAGAAACATGATGGTTCACCCATCAGCCTTAAAATACATCCTCCAAACTCCAAGAGCATATTCCTATTATCCAACAACCTCTTCTTTTGTTGAAGGATCTGAAACGAGTGAATTATAGAGAGCCAACATGACATCTCTTGTTGCATGTTCTTCCATCTGAGTAATGATTGTGTGGTGGAGATTTATATGGAAGACAGAAGGAAAAAATATATTGGAAGCAGACTCAGTATCTCTCAGGCCCGCATTAGCATTCACTTTCCATGTTCCTTCAATAGTGATTTTATTTAATGCTGTGCTCTAACTTCTGTCTTTCCTGCACTCTCTTTTCAGGTTTCATGCTGTGTATAAGAACACATCTTACTACAAGAAAGGAAGTGATTTGGGTGGATAAACATTGCCAGAGACCATCACATCTCCATAAACTGTTCGGTTTCCATGACATAATAATTTCATCTAATAAACAGCATCCTAAAAAAAAGATTGAAAATCTTCTAAATACTTCTTCCTACGAAGCCATACAGTTTGATAAATCGTACTGAAAAAAATTCCTTACAGTATTTACAACTGAAACTCCATACTAAGTAGGCATTAGGTGGCTACAAAAAGTGCTTTTCTAAAATGGTCTGTTTGTACTCCAGATGGTCACCATTCCTACTAGGAGAGAACCCAAAAAAAAAAAAAAAAGGAAAAGTCTAATGAAACTTCAACTGAACTTTGAC